AATAATTAAGATTTTGGATTGGTTTGTTTTAATTAATCTCACTCCTGATGTCTGTTAATATTTTTATTATAACATGTTATTGGGAAAGTGTTTTCAGGGAATAATTTACAGTGAGTTTTACATTATTTTCCTGGGTTTTCATGAAGCCAAGAATCTCTAGTGTTATAAGTTAAGCTTACATTACCGTCTCTAAGTTATGTTTGTCAAGAATGAAATATTGTCGGCAAACACAAGGAGAATAGGAATTCAGGAGCTGGTGTTCCAGTTTCTAATTAGCAGTTCCTAGTTGAGTGAGCTTGGACACAGTTCCGCATCCAAGTTTCTTTAACGTACAGCAATTCTACCTCTCTCGTTCTCTCCACCTCAAAGAACCATTTAAGTGTGGTGCTAAGAGAGCACCTTGAAAATTATCAAGCATTTATATGTGTGAGAGTTGTATGAATGGCTAGAAAATTCAATCTCATGTGTCCCTCTGGCTTATCACTCTTGCCACAGTTTGTCCTTTATCTTCCTAGTTTTTTCTTAAAATGTTAAGACTATTGGGAGTCACCAGTGGTTATTGGGAATATTACTAAAAAAGAAAAAGACTTTCAGATAGACACATTTTCTTTTCTTTTCCTTATATAGATGTTTTGCTTTCAAACATGAGTTATATGTAAAGTTGTACCTTTGGATTTAAAGGTCTTATTTCTGAAAAAAGGCACATCATGTGAAGTACGTATTTCACTTAGAAGAAGCCAGGAAAATAGAGAAATGAGAAGAAACGCCTGGGGAGTGAGAACATGAAACTAAATTAAGTATTCATGTTTTTTATTTATAGAGCTCACCATGTGTAGTTACACATGTGCATTTGTTGGTTGTGAGGTGAGGGATAAATGCCATGCGATTTGGCAGGGCTCTAGTGCAACCAGCAGTTTATAATTAGAAAGTCGCTGGAAATAAGAACCATGGCTGTCTTCCACGAGAAATTACATTTTTAGTGCATTTACTCTGAGTACTTTTCCCTACTCCTTCCTTGAGCCTTCCTTGGTTTTTCTTTCAGAATCCAAAAGTGATGCGGGTATCGCTAGAGCAAGAAGAAAGGCTCTTGCCAGCGAGTGTGTCACATCTGCTGAGATGAGGGTGAGCAGCACAGAGCCCGAGAGCTTCTACGACATTTTTCCTCACCACCTTCAAAAAGAAATACAGGAGATTCTCAGATGAAAATAGCTTATTTCTGCTGTGGAGAAAAGCCCCAAACCGTTACCTACTCAGTACTATTTTACCTGAAGAACTTCTGTGGGTGGCCAGATCAGAAGGCATAACCCAAGGAGGCAACCACGTTCGGACTGGAGAGTCTTACCCGAAGGAACACAACAAAACGCAGCAATGCTTCCGGGCATCAGATGATGAATGAACACTGAGGGGAATACAGGCTTCTCATCGGCCAGGCAGAGCTAAGCTTGGAGTACACATTTAAAGGAAATACAAAGGAAAGACTTCGAAGACTGAAAAATAATTCCATGATTTTCACAGACTTGTATTACAGAAGTGATAATGGAGACCAAGGATAATAGGTAAATGAGTTAAAGTTTTAAGTTACAACAATTTACACTGATTTTTTTAAAGCTTATTGGGTTTTCCCAAATGAAACATAGATAGGCACAAACAGATGAAAACTTTCTAGAGATGAAACTATAGATACTTCAGCATATGCTAGTACCTCTTACTGGGGCCTTGTGATTATTAAATAAAAAACTGTGAAGTACCTGAAATTGTAGCAAATAACCTGGGAAAGGAGAAAGAGAGAGAGAGAGCACAGTCTGCATTTACTTTGTGAACTTTGGTAAGAATAAATTTCACTCCTTTCCTCAAATTTAGTTGCTGTTTAATAAGAACATATATAAGCTTGAGGATTTAAGCAAAAATATAATATTTATAATTATCCCTTAAATTTCTATGTGTTCTTTTTTTCTTAAGCATATAACAAAACACTCTTTCATTGATTTTGAATGCTGTATTTAAGTAGTATGCTCAGTAGATAAAATTTTAGTGCCATAGAGACCAGGTAAGTCTTTACATCTTCTAACCTAATGATATCAACAGATGAAAAGACTTTTCAAATTTGGCTTTGGCAAGTTCGGCAAGCCAAATTTGGCAAGCCAAATTTGAAACGTTGAAAAAAAGCCCAGTATTTGTTTTTCACTTTCAAAACTTTCCAAAGTAAAAATTTTTATATGTTTTATTCATTTGACAGTGGAGGTAAGTGTAACTTTTTCAATGGAACTTGCCTCCTTAAGCAAATGAGGATTACTTTTGTGACTGCTTGTTATTTAAATATGTGAATGCACACAAGTGTTGAGACTACTTAATGGATTTGGTTTTTATCGGCCAATTGGAATATTTGACTATTTTCTGTATTTTCTAATATAAAAAGAAGGCTCTAAGACATCTAAGATAATATTACTGATGCTAAATTGTTTAAATATGAGAGAAACATACTTATGTAGCACCATACATGCTATCTCACAATTTGTGGATTTTTCTTTTTTTACCTTTTAAAGTACTTCTATATAATGCCTTCTCAGTTGTGAAAGATGTTTTTCAAACTAAAGGTGAATTCATTTTCATACAACTTGGCAGTTGACTGATTTGTTGGACATAATATCATTTATAAATTTATTTTAAAGAGTAGTGTTTGTGTAGTAGAATCACTGATTCTGTCACTAAAGTATAACTTTTCAACAATCAGGATTGATTTGAAGCATCTAACAGATGTTGAAAAAAACCAACAGATTCAATTGTCTTTGAAGTCACTGTCTGATAAATTCTATTTATAGCTAAAAAAAGTATATTAACTTTGGGTGTATCTTTGCAGATTATGTAGGCTTTGGTACTGTAGAATTTTCTCAGAACTGATGTATTTGTTTTACTTAAGGCTTATTTACTTATTTACTTAAAGCCAGAATGTCAGTGACTGGATATCGCAAGTGTGTGAGTACACAGAGTGGAGTACATGGGTTGAGGGTCAAAACATCAATCTTAAGGTTATTTTTGTAAGCACACACTTTTATTAAGGCATTTAAAACCTATCTTATTAAGACCATAAATCTATAAAACTTGATTGCCTGGTCTCCTTGTTCCTGTGGCAAGATAATAATTTTTAAAGCTGAAAAAGATCCAGTCCAGGTTTCTTGAGCTCTGGGACATTGTAGCCCAAGTTCCCAGAGGTGTGCATGTGTAGTGGGGGCTCACTCACTCATGGCATCAACAGCTCAGGCCCTTCCTAGGGTACTGCCTTTATGTAAATATTTTGGGAAAAGAAGTTAGATTGTCTATTTAATAAGCAATATCAAGTGTTATGCTAAAATAAAGGCAGATGTATTATTGGATATACCATCTGGATATTTAAACTAAAAGTTGAGACTTAATCTCACTTGTTGAAGGCTGCTTTGGGATTGGTTCTCTCTCCATGGCCATCAGGAAGAGTCTGGAGCCTTAGTATGTGCCAGGGTAGAAGCAGAATCCAGGATATGGAAGGGTTTGGGGAAACTGTCCCCTAAGATGCCTAGGAAACAGTTCTAGTTACAGTGTGCTAAGGAGCTTCGCAGATTTGGTATTGATTCAGGCTGGTGGTGATGTCTGAGATAATTTCTTATGAGTTTTGTTTGATAGATAAGAAAACTGAAATTATGTGACTTGCTCAAACTCATAGGGTTAGTTAAAGAAAAAATTTTTCTGACTCTTGTTAAAGTGGTAAGGAAGACTTCATTCAGGACTCTTGCAAGAGGTGTCAAGACCGTTGCAACAGGGGTGAGAGATTGGGCTCAAATCTAAATACAGCAAAGGCAACTGGGGGTTTATAGCCAATGAGCAGAGTGAGGGGACCAGAGGATGGACAATTAATAAGAGGTGATATCCAGTGTAAGGGGATTCTGGCTAATGCAACTTGACAGAATTCTTGCTGAAGGCAGGACAGGGTGATCAGGTATCAGGGTATTTGATTAAATATTGAGGGTAATCAGATATTAAAGGTACGGAGATTTTTGCTAAACTGATTTAGCAGGATTCTTGTTAAAACTGGGTTAGGTAGGTGGGAGACAGAGCCCAAGGGCAAGGCCTCATTGAAAAGAGGGCTCAGAGGTGCCTTCTAAAGTTTGGTCATGGAGAGAGTCCAGGTTCAAGCTGGTTCAAGCCCAGGGTGCCTGGACCTGCCTCTCCCATCTTCCTCCAGGGTCTACAAGTGTGTCTGGCTCTACATCTAACCTGGGGATTACAGGGGAACACTTTCAGTTAGGATCCTCCAAATAAACCTCTGCTCTTAAAATCATTCACTCAACTAACACGTACTGAGCATTTATTATGTGCCAGGTACTTGGAATACATCAGGGAATGAAATTGATATAGATACTGACTTTTATGAATCTTACATTCTAGCAGGGAAAGATAGGAAACAAATAATAAATGTAATACATAATTAAATTATATGGATATCTTACATGATGGAACAAAAGGAATGGTAGGCCAAGAAAAGGAGGAGGGAGTCTGATGGTGTTGTACAGGAATGTGTGTCACAATTTTACATAGGAAGGTCAGGACAGACTTCACAGAGAAGATGAAATCTGAGCAAACACTTGAAGGAGAGAAAGGAATAATCATAATCATATAGGGGAAGAACGTTCCAGGCAGGGGAAACCCAAGCAAAGCGCCTAGGTGGGAGCTGCCTGGCATGTTCCAAGAATAAAGAGGTGGTGGGCATGCTGGAGCGAAGTGAGTGAAGGCGAGTTGATGGTGTGATTGAAGAGGAAGCTGGGCACGAGGTCACCATAAAGGAAATAGGAATCCATTGCAGGGTTTTAAGGAGTGATATGCTCTGACTTATATGTTTAAAGGATCCCTAGCTGCTATGGAGAAGGCCAGGTGTAGAAGTGGGGTCACCATTCTGGGCTATTGTAACAAGCCAGATGAGAGATGATGATGGCTATGGGCTGGATGGAAGGGTGTTTTCTTCTTCCCTTCTTCCCTGAGGTACTTCTTATCTGATGACTCTGCAGCGATTCCTGCACGTGTTTGTCGGTGTTTTCACCAAGGCTTCAAGAATATCCTTACCATCTGGCAGTGTGGGAATGTTGAATACACTTAAAATGAATGTCAACAACCTACTTATGATGGGTGTTTTGCCATTTTCCCAAAAACAATCAATTCCCTAATTCTCCAACTGACACTAACTACCAAGAGTTAGCACAGACCCTAGAAGTTAAGGGTTCAGTCCTACAAGACTGCCCCACTCGAGGGGCCAGGTACAAATGGGATCTCTAGGCAACCCAACTACAAATTCAGGGATTCCCGTGATACCCTTCCTCAGGTTCAATAATTCACTAGAACAAGTCAGAACTCAGACAGCGCTTTACTCATGATGACATTGGGCAGTGATCCATTGTGCCTGAGTTTATTGTAAAGGATATGATTCAGTAATAGGCATTTGGATGAGATACATCAGGTAAGATTTGGGGGCAGGGGGTGTGCAGAATTTCCATGCCCTCCCATCGCTTTGATGTGTTCACTTATCTGGTGAATTTAGCCTGGTTGTTTCAGAGTTTTTATTGAAGTTTTATTCTGTGGGCACAGTTGATTAAATCATCAGTGATTGAATTCAATCTCCAGCCCCTCTCCCCTCCCTGGAGGTCAGGGAGTACAGCTGAAAGTTCTAATTCTCTAACTGCATGATTGTTTTCTCTAGCTCTAACCACTGATCTTGAAGTGACTTAGGAGCCCTGCCTGAGTTATTTCATCAGTATACAAAAGACATTATTATCCTCAGGAAATTTAAAAGCTCTGTGCCAGGCCCAAGAAGATAAAGACCAAATATATATTTTCTATGATAGTACACTAGGAGTAAGAAAGATTCAAATGGGAAAGCAGAGTCCAGTCTTCAGGAGAGCAGGCAAATAAGCTGAATCCAAGTGTAGGAAACTAAGCCCAGACAGGGGAGATCAAGTAGTCAGTAGAGGGCCAGGAAAAAAAGCCAGACCTTGTACTTCTCATTGAGGGGCAGGAGTGGATTCAGGCTTGAAGCCATCGGTTTAATGGCAGTGACCCAGAACCAGAGCCAGGGCGATTGGCGTCCAAAGAAAGAACAAGTGGATTAGCAATTATTCCACAGCCCCTGGATTCAGTAGTTCATGAGTATAAATAAGGTCAGTTAATATTTACATCTCTATCTCCATGGCTCCAAGCCTTCACCTGTTGGACAAGACCTTAACTCCCATGGCCCACGAGGGTGCTTAAATTCCTCCCCAGCTATTTCTGGGCATCCTCAAGGTGGTGGCATCTTATATGGGCTCAGGAATGAATTTGCTCATGTTCTTTCCTCTTGAGCCTCTCTGTCAAGGGGACTTGTCAAGGCCTCGGCAGCTGGGGTTCTTTAAGACATTATCCCCTGCACCCAGTGGACACTTTGAGCCCGAAACAAGTCTGAAACCTGGGGAGAGGGCAGTAAGGGGAGATGAATGGCTTCTCCTCGAGCCTGTGCTCATTCTGTTTTCTAAGAGAGAAGCAGTGCTTCATGGACTTAGTCTTGTCCTATGTTTCATAAACATACCTGAGTTTCTGTCCTCACAGCCTCAAAACCAGTCCCTTATATATGGGCAGAGAGGGGAGGATGGGTCCTGTCCTGCCTCTTCTACATCTCCTCTCTTCTTTTCTCCTTGGATACCGCTGCATCCAAACAAAACAAACTCGGAACAAATACCTTCCACTTCCTTTCAGAGAAAGCAAATTGTGTAATGGAAAGAGTATCAACATTTGAGCCAGATATATTTGATTTGAATCTCAGCTTTGCTATTTACTAGTTACGTGGCCTTGAATAGGTTACTTTTTCTTAATATGGGGATCATAATGCCTACAGTAATGTTAGGTTAGAGATCATGAATGTTAAACACTCAGCATAATAGTTGACCCAGAATGCCTCAGAAAAGGTAACACTTGTTATGATGACTTCCATTAAGTAGTAAAAATTCAACTGAGTAATTTATTTTTTTTATTTTTTTAAGATTTTGTTTATTTATCTGAGAGAGAGAGAATGAGAGAGAGAGAGCACGAGAGGGAAGAGGGTCAGAGGGAGAAGCAGACTCCCTGCTGAGCAGGAAGCCTGATGTGGGACTTGATCCTGGGACTCCAGGATCATGACCTGAGCCGAAGGCAGTCGCTTAACCAACTGAGCCACCCAGGCTCCCTCAACTGAGTAATTTAAAAATTCAAATTGACTTTGTTGAATGATTCATTAATTAGGCAGTATCCCTTCTAGCAAATAGAAAGGAGGTCCATCAGGGTGCAAGAAAGGAAAGGTTTTTAAAGGCAGAGAGGGAGTGGAATAAAGGAAATTATTGCGAAGAATGTATTGTTTGAGGCAAGGTCACCTTTCTAAGGGGAACAGAAAGGGTCTATCAGTATATTTCCCAGTTCTGACCAGGAAATTCCATGTTGACTGGTTAACGGTTACATTCTGGGGGAGGGTGAAACTGCATTTGGGTTAGGTATTACGTCTTGTTTGCTGATGTGATACCCTTAACATAAGTGACTCCATTTTGGGCTTGGGGTTTTCTTTTCAACAGTCCCTTATCCAGAAACTAGCACTAAGTCTAGCCACCTGTAATGGCTTCCACCATCATGCAGGTGTTACAAGGATGGTGTTGCCTACCACCATCCCAGCTAACGAGCAGTTGTAAACAAGTCTGTCTTACCCGTCTTGGTTGGTTATGGGGATTTTCCTTCCTGCTGCTATCATCCCCTGAATGTGTCCATATGTGCCAGGATCTGCTTGGGGAGGGTTATATCCAGTATCTGGCCATCCAATAGGAAACATAAGATGCAAAGGGAGGGGCTGGGGAGAATCCTGGGAACACCACATAGTATTTTTTTTTTATTATGTTATGTTAATCACCATACATCACATCATTAGTTTTTGATGTAGTGTTCCATGATTCATTGTTTGTGCATAACACCCAGTGCTCCATGCAGAACGTGCCCTCTTTAATACCCATCACCAGGCTAACCCATCCTCCCACCCCTCTCCCCTCTAGAACCCTCAGTTTGTTTTTTGTTTTTCAGAGTCCATGTCTCTCATGGTTCATCTCCCCCTCTGATTTCCCCCCCTTCATCCTTTCCCTCCTGCTACCTTCTTTTTTTTTTAACATATAATTTATTATTTGTTTCAGAAGTACAGATCTGTGATTCAACAATCTTGCACAATTCACAGCGCTCACCATAGCACATACCCTCCCCAATGTCTATCACCCAGCCACCCCATCCTTCCCACCCCCCACCACTCCAGCAACCCTCAGTTTGTTTCCTGAGATTAAGAATTCCTCATATCAGTGAGGTCATATGATACATGTCTTTCTCTGATTGACTTATTTCGCTCAGCATAACACTCTCCAGTTCCACCCACGTTGTTGCAAATGGCAAGATCTCATTCCTTTTGATGGCTTCATAATATTTCATTGTATGTATATACCACATCTCCTTTATCCATTCATCTGTTGATGGACATCATGGCTCTTTCCACAGTTTGGCTATTGTGGACATTGCTGCTATAAACATCGGGGTTCATGTACCCCTTCGGATCCCAACATTTGTATCTTTGGGGTAGATACCCAGTAGTGCAATTGCTGGATCGTATGGTAGCTCTATTTTCAACTGTTTGAGGAACCTCCATACTGTTTTCCAGAGTGGCTGCACCAGCTTGCATTCCCACCAACAGTGTAGGAGGGTTCCCCTTTTTCTGCATCCTTGACAACATCTGTCATTTCCTGACTTGTTAATTTTAGCCATTTGGACTGGTGTGAAGTGATATCTCATTGAGGTTTTGATTTGGATTTCCCTGATGCCGAGAGATGTTGAGCATTTTTTCATGTGTCTGTTGGCCATTTGGATGTCTTCTTTGGAAAAATGTCTGTTCATGTCTTCTGCCCATTTCTTGATTGGATCATTTATTCTTTGGGTGTTGAGTTTGATAAGTTCTTTATAGATTTTGGATACTAGCCCTTTATCTGATATGTCATTTGAAAATATCTTCTCCCATTCTGTCGGTTGTCTTTTGGTTTTGTGGACTGTTTCTTTTGCTGTGCAAAAGCTTTTTATCTTGATGAAGTCCCAATAGTTCATTTTTGCCCTTGCTTCCCTTGCCTTTGGTGATGTTTCTAGGAAGAAGTTGCTGGGGCTGAGGTCAAAGAGGTTGCTACCTGTGTTCTCCTTTAGGATTTTGATGGACTCCTGTCTCACATTTAGGTCTTTCAACCATTTGGAGTCTATATTTGTGTGTGGTGTAAGGAAATGGTCCAGTTTCATTCTTCTGCATGTGGCTGTCCAATTTTCCCAATACCACTTGTTGAAGAGACTGTCTTTTTTCCATTGGACATTCTTTCCTGCTTTGTCGAAGATTAGTTGACCATAGAGTTGAGGGTCCATTTCTGGGCTCTCTATTCTGTTCCATTTATCTATGTGTCTGTTTTTGTGCCAGTACCATACTGTCTTGATGATGACAGCTTTGTAATAGAGCTTGAAGTCCAGAACTGTGATGCCACCACTGGCTATTTGGGGTCTTTTCTGGTTCCAAGCAAATTTTAGGATTATTTGTTCCATTTCTTTGAAAAAAGTGGATGGTATTTTGATGGGGATTGCATTGAATGTGTAGATTGCTCTACGTAGCATTGACATCTTCACAATATTTGTTCTTCCAATCCATGAGCATGGAACGTTTTTCCATTTCTTTGTGTCTTCCTCAATTTCTTTCATGAGTATT